ACCAGGTAGTGAAAGAAAAATGTGAGAGTATAAAGTAATAAGGTATATTCTTAAAGCCAGTGCATTTCAAAATTTTAGCAACAGATTCTATGAATGACTTGTGTATATAGGTATATGGAACTGCTCAAGAAGCAAAAACTGAGCTCCTGAGTTAAGAAAAAAAAAATTTATTATTAAAAGTCAAAAATGGTCTGCGATTCTCATTTCCCTAATGCAATATGTTGCTTTGACTGTCTTTTGTTTTTTCCCAAATATCAAATGTCAGGATAGATCCAGTCTGATTTCTAGATAAGGACCATGAGCAGCAACATTACATCAACCACTGAGGTCAACTGGACTAGTGCCCACTAGTGCGCACTAAACCCATACTGTGCTCCTTACGCTGATTCTAGTCAAATGTTTTGAGCAAGAAGAAACAAACACAAATTTTATTTATTCAACAGTATATTCTAATGAGTTCTCTATATGCAAATGAGTAGAATTTTTGTGAAGTTGCACACTGCACAGCTTCTCTACAGCAGTACAGGTGTGTGTCTAGCAGAGAACCTGCAGCAGAGGAGAGGATGACGGAGGGAAGCCAAATTAAAGTAAGAACACACACCCTTTTTAATTACACATTTAATGTGCTGACTGTGAATGTGCAAGCTCCTAAAAAGATTAAGAACCAAAGTATAACATTATACTTGCATTGCTCTACTTCAGTATGTGGAGCAGGGGAGCTGGGGATCAAACTGCCAACCTTGAGAATAGTGGACAACCCGCTCTACCTCCTGAGCCAGGGCCACCCCATACTCTCACGCAAATACTTGTACTTGTACTCAATCTGGAAAAATAGTGATACTGGTGCATCCCTACTGATTTCTGCTGGTTCTTTCATTTGTCACAGCGTGAATGTACTGGGCGTAATCCATCCATTATCTATACCGGTTGTCCTGACAAGGGTCGCAGGAGGCTGGAGCCAATCCTAGCTGACACTGGGCAAGAGGCGGGGTAAATCTTGGACAGGTTGCCAGTCTATCACAAGGCTGACACTTGGAGACAGACAAAATTCTGTTTGCAGGGTTGGCAATTCGATTCCCAGTCTCCCCAGTACACATGACAAAAAGTTCTTGGGCGAAACACTGAACCCCAAGTTGCTCCCGGTGGCCAGGTGGCATAGTGTGGGTTTTAATTTACCGAACTTGAAGCAGCTGTCATTAAGTATTATGCTTCACCATTATCACACTCTTCAGCTGTTATGGTTACTGATGCTCAGAGGATTTTATAACCTTTAATAAGAAATGGGTAAATGACCAAAAGTAGTTGTGATACTTGACCTTTTTGAAAATAATGTCATGCTTGTAATGCCTAATGGATCAGGACAGGGTTCAAACAAAGCGGCGTAGACAAGAGAACTGCAGCTATAATTGGAGAGGTTCCACTGATGGATGTGAACTATGGCTTTACACGGTGCTTACAGAGCCTGACGAGGTATTCACTCAATTAGTATGAAGAAAAAGTAAGAACAGTTCTGATGATCCTACATAACTAGGTTCAGACTATATGCTGAAGTGACTCAAATCCAATGTTTTACCTCCAAATGACTCAGATCTGATCTTTTCACAGATGTATGAACAAATCAAAATCCCATTTTTTCAGACTGGATCTGGGCCACTTTCATATGTGGTCCTAGATTGTATTTATATCAAATCTCTGATCATGTGACCTCTGTCAGATCAGTCAGATCAGAATTCATGTTTTTTTTTTCCCCCCAATGTCTCACTCCTCTGCACATGCGCATATCACCTGTCATCATTATTCGCTGTCAGCCCCTCACAGACTGGTTACAAATAACAATGAAGGAGGGGAACAACAGCGATGGGGGTCAGTGGAGAAACTAGGAGGTTTTATTTTTGTTGAACATTTATGCGCAAGTTTCTGTTCACGCCAAACTAGAATGAATTTAGCATAGCTAGAGATGTACTGGAGGAGATCAGAAATGGCTGGTTTTCAGTGTGATCGGCCTTGACCAGTGACTGGCTGATCACTGAGATTTCTAATTCTGTGCCTCTCAAATTTAGAGGCACAACAGTCCATGTCGAGCACACAGTGACACAGACCAAAAGTGTAGCATGTGCAGCAGGACAGCCAGCTGGGGCTCAGTGACTGTTACCTCCTTCACCTCCATCTCCCTCCACTAACTATGTCGATTCCGTTCCACGGCTCCGCCGCCCAATTACTGTTGATACCATTATCATCCTTAAACAATGAGGCAGCTGCAATGACTGTTTTGGACTTGCTTAAGACAAAGTAAAGTTGTCGCAGAGAAAAGAAGTTTAAAAAAATATTGAATGTTGCATCTAGCAGTGGTAACTGCGCAGACAACAGATGACTCAGGACCACAGCTCCCAGTGAGTCCAGTACAAAGACCAGACAAGATTTACAGCATAAGAGAAAGTCAAAATGAAGCTAGTCTGAGTTTATGTAGCAGGGTGATTTTGTATCACTTCGTTTTCTGCTCTGGTTTCATCAGAAATTCACCCAGTCTGTGATGAGCTCAGATCTGCAGAACTGTATGAATGAAGAAAGAACAGAACATTTGCCTCTTCTGTTTTTACTGCTGTACAGTTTGAATTTTAATCTCACACTCTCTAGCCTATAGCCAAAAGAGAAAATTGAAAAATAAATATACTATTTATTATAAGGCAAACTGAAGAGCAGTAAGCCCAACCCTCAGCACCACCAGTGCATGCATGAGGATGTTGTGTTTGTCTTCCTGC